ACTTCTGACTCACGGCGACCCTTTATTCCCAGGCAGCCAAATCCAGTTTCTATAGACTTGCCTTTTGTGAACATTGCAGCTAAGATGGAATCCTGTTTCTAGGCCCACCCACTTAGTGTCTTCAAGGCTCACCCTGTGGGTGAGCAGCATGTAGCAGTGGTTGATTCTTTTACCACAGAATGGAATGGGTAGACCCCCTCGCTGTCATTGCAAAATATCAAAGTAGGGGTTTTAAGGAACGGAAGTTCATTGTCTCACAGTTCCAGAGGGCGGGAGTGCCAGTCAGGGCTTCCTCAGGTCCACATTTGCTGTCCTTTCTCGGGGAAGATCCTTCCTGGTCTCTTCCGGGACCTGGTAGCCCCAGGACTTTCTTGGCAGTTAGACCCATCTCTACATGGCTTGTCTTCAGAAGGCAACACTCAAACCAGGGCCCACCCCACTCCAGCGTGACCTCATTAACTGGTCACTTCTGCACAGAACCCATGTCCACACACGGTCACATCGACAGGAAAGGGGCTAGAACACCAGTCTATCTTTTGGGGGCACACAATTCAGTCTGTAATGGCATGTTTTGTTTACCCATCTGCTGGTTACCAGCCATTTGGACTTTTGTAGTCTGACCTCGGTCCTAGTTTCCAACCAAGGAATGTCTGTTGTCTGTGGTGGGCCACCTGGGCCGTCTGACAGTTTATACTGAGTGAATCATGCCAGACCTCTTGGACTCGGCCAGTCTAGTGCCCTCAGGTCGATCCCAACTCAAGGCAGCCCTGTGTGTCAGGGGAGACCTGTGCCCCACTGGTTTCCAAGGAGACTCAGTGGCAAGTTCTGGAGTGTGGGACCGACGGGAACGAATGGAGAGCGAGTGATCTTCAGGATGGTCAGAAGGTTCTAAAATACGACTGTGATGACTGTACAACTCGTTTTCGTTTGTGGCAAGTTTATTAAAATGCTTTCGGTAAATGATACCAAAGTAAAACTGTTCTATCAAAAAGATGACATCATCTTCAGGCAGGCAGACTTGATGGAAGTGGATCGCCAGGCGTTCCATCCGAGTGTAGGTTTAACCCCCACCCTTCTGGCTGGCAGTGACACTCTCGGTCATTAATGCCAGCCATGCCTACTAGTTGATCCGACTTTTAGGGACCCTACAGAACAGAGTAGAACGGCCCCTGTGGGTTTCCAAGGCTGTCAGTCTTTCTCCAGCTAGTGGGTTCAAACTGCTAACCTTGTAGTTAGCAGCCCACTGTGTAATCCACTGCCCCACCAAGCCACACTGATCGCTTTAGCGAAAGGACCAATAATGGGCTTAGAGGGTTGGCCTTTTGAGATCAGCCAAACTTCAGGGGAAGGAAGAGGGCAAAAGATTTCAGTTAAACCATATAGGTGAGGAATCAAGCATCATTACATCATCAGGCCCAATAAAGGTATTAAAAGGTCAGGCAAGCTTCTCATGTTGGTGATATTCCTGACCTTCTCACACATCCGTGAGCCCGGATGGTGGCATATCCTGACTCCACAGGACGAGGGTGCCTGAACTGTTTGAGCCCTCACAGAGGTTTACTCTTTGCTTGGTTCTCCTCTGTAGCATCTTCATATATGCCTTTGCTTGGTAAACAGAGCTTTCTTGAGTTTGGGGGCATGCAGGGTAGCTGGTGTTAGCTATCCTGGTGGGACCGCGTCCCCATTTTCATGGGAGGAACTCTGCTGCTCATGGATATTGCATGAGAGCCTGTGTGTGCCTGCTCTCCTTGCCCTGAGGCAAGGAGTAGACTTGCTGGCTGAGGTAGTTTATTGTGCCATCCTGGCCGATAAACACATGGGGTTAATTGAAGGGCGGGGAGATAAATGGCTTGGTGAGCCTCCCCTTTATAGTTCTCGGGTCTCTTGCTTTTTGACGGTCAGACCAGGGTGCAGCTGCCTTAGCCAGTTCCCTGCTTCAGCTGGCAAGGCTCACTTCCTGCAAGACATCCCCAAGGAGAAGCCACATGGACCTACCCCGATGCAGCCCTGGGTGCTGGAGCAGCCACGTGGAGACCCCTGCCAGCGCTGAGATGATTAACCTTTCACTGACTCGGCTTTCCCCCTGCAGTCGGCATCATTGCGTGTCTTGTGAGATGGAGGACTTTGTGGATTGGTGGTGGACATAATGGGATAATGTTGGACTTCTGGACTTGGGCAGCACGGGGTTGGGATGTTTTCTTGATGTGCACTTAACCTTTATATATATAAAACTCTTATACACGAGTTTCCGTAGTTTTGTTTCTCTAAAGTACCCAGACTAACACTGGCTCACCTGGTAAATCTACCATGTGGTTTTCAGGGCATTTTCTCAGGCTTTCCCAAGTGGTGGCCTCACTTTACACCCTTACCGCACAGCTGCACCGACACTTGCTGCAGGGCTTCTTTTGGTGACCGCCGTTCTCTGGATGAGCTCCCATTGGGCCCTTCTTTCCCGCATGAGTAATTATGCCAGCCGTTCCCGTGCTCACGGATTTGACGTTCTAAGATGCCGATCTTGATCTCTGAATATTGCACTCATTCCATCCCGGGGTCCACTTGCAAGATGTGTGAGTTTTGCGTCACGTATAACATGTAAAGTCCATGTGTATCGAGAGTATTACATGTCTTTCTTCCTTCCCCTTGGTACCACCCACCGAGGATCTTGTCTACTCAGGGGACCCTCAGCTTGGTCCAGCTTATCGAGGATCCAATTCCCAACTTCAGCAGTTTCATCTTCCAGTGTGAGCATTCCCATCGGGGCTTTGGAGGTCCCAGTTCTTTTCCAGCGTTCACTTTCCTTGGATGTATGATCTTGGCTGTTTTCAAGCGCAGCCCGGTATGTGGGTTCTGTGTGAGTCCGCTTCCTACTGTGCTCGGTGATTTTGGTGGACACGTGTAGACTGCATGTCTGGCTGGAGACTGGGTGGACAAACTAGCCTCTTCCCGAGATCACCCGCCTGCTCCTCTGAGGAGCGGTTGGAGTAGGGTCACCTCAAGCCAGTCAGGTGAACCTGTTAGATCTCTCTGGAGCTAGATATATACCCCGGCCCTTGGCTCCGCGTGAGAAAGAATTCACGCGGAAGCCTGGTTCGTGATCGAAGTGAGTTTTTTGAGAATTAGAAGTTTCAGGTTTACACGGCTTCCGAGGGGCTCCTCCCGGACAGGCAGCCTGGCCGGAAGCGGCTCAGCGTCCCGCAGTTCCGCCAAAGCTCTCTGCGCCTAAGTTCTCTCTCCTCCCTTCTCTGGGCTTCTGCCTTTTCAAGGATTCCACAGGGAGGCGTGGTGGAAGACCCCTGATCGACCCCATGGCTGAATTGAATTCACCTGGTCTAGGTGGGCCAATTCAAGTTCACGCCCACCCCTGCCCACAGGCGGGAACCCTGAGCATGTGTGGTGCGCCACTCCTTTGTTTCCCTAGCTTGGCCCTCTGGGCATGCGTTAACAGACATCCCCAGCCCTTTGCTAACCTACCTAACAAACCCAAGCAATGCAGGACCAAAGGCCAGTGCTAGCTCTGGATGGAGGAGCCCCGGCGGTGGCATGGTTTATGAGTTGGGCTGCAAACAGCAGGGTTAGCCATTTGACACCAGGAGCTGCTCCACGGGAAAAAGATGAGGCTTTTCAGTCCCATAAAAGCAGTTCTACCCTTGCCTCTAGGGCTACTATGCGTTGGAATTGACTCGATGGCAGGTTTTAAAATACTCTGGTTCATCTCCATTGCTGGGTTAGACTTCCCAGGGTCCCTGTTGAGGGCCTGGGGGAGTGCGAGAATACCCCTAGCACAGTAGGAAGGGGCCCTTCTCCCACCTTCCTTTCCCGGGGTCTTTGCCTGGCAGTTTGAGGGTCAACACCCAGGGTGTGGGCTGTGTGCTCTTCGCTTGAAAACCACACAGATGAAAGGCCGTGACCACACCCCCTTCTCTTGCCCAGCGTTTCAGTAGGTTGCAGCCCCGGGTCGGTGTTCGAGCACCTGTGCTTCCCACCGCCCAGGTACAGACTTGCTACTCCCTGCACCTGTGGCTCTGCACACCCGGATGGCGTTGGCAGGCACTTACTGGCACCTGGGTAGACTTTCTGAAGTGGTGAGTTTTTCACTCTGGCAGCATGGTCAGTCTGCAGCAGTCTCCAGCCCCACCTGAAGGACCTTTCTCTCCAGCCCTGCCCCTGCTGAGGCACCACCCCAGCCAGCCACTGCCCGAGGCAGCAGGCTCAGACCTGTCCATGCTTAAGCAGCGCACTTCTGTCCAAAGGAAGGGACAGGAGCCCGCTATTTGTGCTGCGCGCATTTCCGCAGGACTGCAGGCCCACGCAGCGTCTCTGGCCTCTGCTGCCAGATCTGCTCAGCCCATTGCTTGCTTCCGAGGTGCCTGCTCTTGGGGGAACTGAGAAAGGCCTATACTTTTCACCTGAGCTGGGAGGCCAGGGAAGCAGCATTTGGGGGAGCAGTTTTGAATGGCATTAAACAGAAACATGATGGGCAAGAGGCTTCGTGCTATCAGAAGCCTCCCTTTAGCTGTCAGTTTATGTGGCTTGGGCTTATTTTGGTATCTAATTAGGAGCCTAACCAAAGCTACCAAACCCAGTGACGCCATCCTCCGCCCTGCGATTCTAGGCAGAGAGCTTCTGGGGAAGCCGCACTTAGGACCAATGGGGTGACGTGCCAGGCACTCACTGCGACGGCTGAAGTCACTCCCTACGAAACCAGGCTAAGGCCTCCAGTCTCATCTTCACACACCCCACGGGCCAAGAGCCGACTTCCCAACTCAGCCACCTGTGCACAGGCTACTATCCGAGCACGTGGCACAGACGAGGTGGGCAGCCCACTGCGCTGAACGAGTGGCCATTTCTCGTGGGTAACACTCAACATCATGCAAAGAAACCCAAGGGAGGTCACTGTGAATCACCGCTCGCTCGGTTCCAGGTTTCCTCCTCTGTCAGATTCTTAACTGCCTCGGATCTGACCCACCTCGGTCACCTGGGACAGAGGCCCAGTTAAGGAATGACTGCTTCAAACCCTTTTTATTAGTCCTGGCCACCACAGCGGGTGCTCTGTACACCGTGTGTTTAAATGGCAAACAGGAAGCCGGGCTTGAGGGGTGTGGCTGGCCTGCCCTCACCGAGGGGGGTGTCCGGCAGACAGGAGGGGTCTTCCCCCCTTGGTCACTACCCCACTTCATGCAGCTGCACAGAGAACTTTTGTGGGCCAGCGTCCTAAGGCCCGGGGTTGAAGTCCAGAAACCAGGAAGGGATCCGCTTGATGCTAAGCCTCCATGGGCGGGTCTGAGCTCCTGCTCCCCAGCGGGCTGCTGATGGAGGAACTTTTTGGGCTGCCGAGCACAAGCCTCTCGCGTCTTCCAAATGCTTCATTCACTACAATACAGATAACAGGGAAGAAGCGACCAGGTCAGGAACCGAAAAGTCTACGGCAGAAAATGACACCCCCTCCCCGGGGAGAAACGGTTTATGACAATATGCTGAAGTTGCATTTTCTAAGCGGAGAAATAAGGAATCCACTCAGAAGTCCAAGTTAATGTTGGGAATGACGTGAACCCTGGAATAAGTCTTTTCTTTGGTTCTGGATTGATCCCATCTGGGCACAGTGGACACGGACCATCTCAAAAGAACACCCAGCAGCCTGGCTCACGTAGCAGGGGCGCAGGGGCCCTCAGGAGAGCTGGAGGGGCCGGAGGTGGGTGGAAAAAGGGGCAGATTTATCCACACTGCAGAGAGGGTCATTCTTGGAAGCCAGGCTGCATTTCAACTTTCCAAAAACAACCTTTTAAGATTCAAACTTCATCATAAATAGGTACTTTAAAAAGTGAATTGCATTTAAAATGAGACTTCATTTACGAGCTCAAACATTTCCAAAGACATGTGACGCATTTCCTGGCCAGAGGATGCTACAGGGTGGACGCCGATTCCCTTGCACCCAGGCTTGTCCTCAAGTCACACCTGGGGGACCCTTCTAGAACTCACTCAGGACAAGTGGGAAGCTGGGATCCTTACCTGAGGAGACTGTACTGATGTCCCAGACCCGGAGCCCCTCCTTCTGGCCTCCGAAGGCGTACATGAACGGCAGCTCAGGGCAGCAGGCAGCACAGAAGAGCACACCCTGAAGGGGGAGAGCCGGAGCTGGGAGTATGCACCTGCCCCCATGTCTAGGTCCCGCGCGTACATGAGGGCTGGGATCCAGTGCGTGCCCCACACCCTCAGCGGTGTCTTCCCTGAGCCCAGGGCACAAGGCGCTGCAGGCCGGGTGAGACGGCCACTCCGTGAGGACGGGAGGCCCCACTGAGCACCACCACTATTTCAGTTCTCCACGCGGACAAAGAAGGGTGGGCAGGCAAGAGGGCGCTGTGCAGTACATTTTTAAACCTCTAGTTCGTTCCTTCCCCTTAAAAAGCAAAACCACATCCGTCACGAGACAGTGCACTGCTGCTGGAGGCTGGCGAGCACATGTTGGTTCTGACCCAGCAGCTCCACGTGACAGGACACTGCCCCGGGGCGGGGGCCAGGCGGGCCGCTCTGAAGCCGACAGCAGGCCTTTCTCCTGGGTGGGTCAACATGCCAACCTCTGATTGCAGCCCCGAGCGCAGTGTGTGCCGGCCAGGCTCCTGAGAGGATGCAGGAGCGCGGCTGGAAACGTGAACGAGAGGAAACGCGACGACTGGAAGACAGCGGTCTCGTTGTGTGTGTTGTAAAGTTGTAGATCTCACATGTAAACCACACAAGCAGATGCTGCTTCTGTACGGCGCCATCAAAACCATTCTGTCTTCTTCCTCTTCCCATACAATCATCCTTAACCGCTACGAAGCACTCATCTGGTCACTGAGTTTATACAATGAATTCCCCACGATGAACGACCCGGAACAGAACTAGTTCTGTATACTTCGCCTCCATAGATAACCTGACCATGATTACAGCCATGGTGCCTGAGAGGTTCAAGGTTCCCTAGGACGGTCCTAAGGGTAGGGTCCAGGGGTGTGGTCACTGCACTTTGGCTTAGGAAACCCGCGCTCTCTCTCTCTCTCTCTCTCTCACTCACTCTCTCACACACACACACACACACACACACACACACACGGCAGAGCAGAGCTGCTCCTTTGGGTTGGCAGAGCCATAACTCTCCACTGGAGCAGAGAGCTTCATCGTCCTCACACAGAGGAGCTGGTGATTTGAACTGCTGACCTTGTGGTTCGCAGGCCAGCGCCTAATCCACTACGCCACCGAGGCTCCTTATGAACACCAAGCCACTGTTCATCATGGTGGTTGCAAAAGGAAACAGTCCTTGATTTGCCTCCTAACTGTCCTATGTCATTAAAGAAAGGGCAGGGAGACCTAAATCTCCCACCAAAGTTGACCAGGCCTGAAACAAACCACCTTTCCCAACAAATTCCGACTCTTTAGTGCAGTGGTTCCTCTACAGGAGGACGGTCATCCAGGTGGAGACAGAACAAACAGAAAACGAGAGGCCCTGGTGGTTCTTACCATTTTCATGTCCCTCGAGTGGACCAGACTGGGCCTGTCCCCCAGGATGTCCCAAATCTTCACGTGCTTGTCGGCTGAAGAAGTCACCAGGCAGCCCTTGACCTGACTGCTCAGCTCCAGCCCTGCAGGACGAGCACACGGTTGGGAGGAGCCACTGAGGCAGGGCTCCGCCGCTGTCGCCAGAGCCACAGAGCCCAGGCCCTCCCCCTCACCTGAGATCTCAGCACTGTGAGCGTTCAGGGTGAAGACAGGCTTGTCGCAACGCGCATCCAGGTTGTACACAAAGCCGTCCTCCGTGCTGACCTCCAGGGAGAGACGGGCAAGGTCAGACTACTCCGGGGCCCCAGCCTGACCCACTGTGCACAGTGTGAGTGCAGCCCGCTGGGCCGTGCCTGGGGGTTGGTCTGACGTAGACAGGCACTCAGTCTGCTTTTGAATCAGCTGACCTGGCTGCAGCCAGCTAGTGAGCCTGCAGGCTGCCGGAGAGGGGAGTGAGGCTTCCAGAGCTGGGCAGCCCTGAGGGAGGGGCGGTGCCCATGTGGAGGCAGAGAGAGAAGCCCCGAGGGCACGTCCCCACAGTGGGTGGCCAGCCAGCTCCTGTGTCACAGACCTCCAGGGCAGTTAGACAAGGACACGGCTCATCAGGGGCTGGAAGTGAGAGGGTGGTGGTAGTGCGGGGGTTGTTGAAGGAGAATGCCAGGAGCTTCTGGAACTAGGAAGGATCCACACGGCCACAGCCATGGCAGAGGCACTCGTGAGGCGGGAAGGAGGGCAGGCCCTGGTAAGCTGCTACACTTGAAGGGAGGAGGAGACTGGAGCCTGTCAGCAGCCAGGTGGAGCGAGGGCGCAGGATGGCTGTGGGCAGGACCTGCGAAGGCCCGGCAGGGAGGAGACGGACCATTTTGTTCAAATCACTTCCTATTCCCAGAAAGAGCTGTGACTTTAGGACCAATGGCAGAGCCAGCGAGTAAGTGAGTGTGTGTGTCAGAGGGCGCTGTCCAAACCCTGCTGGGCCCTCTGGACACCTGGCTCCAGCTCACGCCCAATTCACTGCCATCCCTCAGTTCTCACTGGTCATTGTGACCCTGGAGGACAGGGTCGAGCTGCCCCTGTGGGTTTCTGAGACTGTCACTCTGAACAGGAGTAGAAAAGCTCTTCTTTAACTTGAAGAGCACCTGGCGGTTTTGAACTGCTGACCTTTCAGTCGGCAGCCAATATGTAACCACAACTTTGGAGACGCTGCTTTAAAACATGGCACGACCATCAAAACACCAAACTTGCTCACAAACCCCAAGCAACCGCGACCCCCCACAGCTCACTGCAGTGAAGTACCACACACGGCGGGGCACCGCGAAACGTGGTACGCAGGACAGGAACTGGAAGTGAGTGAAGCATTGGCCAGGCATGTGATCCCGGTTTTTCTGGCTGACCCGCTGCTCCCCTACTAGAAACCATCCTTGTTAGTTCTCAGGCTGAAAACCCAACCGCTGGCCCAGTTAGGACAGAGCCGGCTTTGCTGCGAGCCTCCGTGAGCATCCACGGAAAGCATGCCGTTAAAAACGTGGAGAAGCAGCAGAGTGGTGGGCGACACGGGGCTCTTACCAGAAAGTGATACGGTGAAAAGTGATTCCAGGTCACCCGCTCCACCTGCCCGCTGAAGCGCCACACGCGGTGGCTCTCATCTGGACTGCGGCAGTCATACAGGGCCACGGACCTGGGCACAGGGGACAGGCAGGTTTGCAGCGCCCACTCCTCTGAGAGTGCGCCCCTATCTTTAAATGGAACTCAAATAATAAAACACTACCGGGAAGTTCAGAGGCAGCTGCCGGAATGTTCTAAAACCTAACAGCAAAGGGGAGAGTTGCACACACTGGTGGCCTCGGCCCTTGTCACAAGAAGGCCCCGGTGGCTCTGCATGTCACAAGTGGCTTTGAGAAGCAGGTGTGCATGAGCTGACATTGCACCTAACCCTGGAGAGCCTGGGTCTCACTCCGGGGTTCAGACCCGGCCACAAGGTCTCGACACAGGCCAGACAAGTCTGATCAGCAGCCACAGGCGACACCCGCGTCTGGCTGGGTTTCTGGAACGCGTTTGGGAGTGGTCTGCGTCAGGGCACTGCGTCCAAGCAGCCGCCAGCTCCCGTGATGACAGCAACACATCCCTTTGCTGATGGAGGACGAAGCAAAGGAGACACGGGTGCTCCTGCCCCCCCCCCCAACCCGCATGTCCCACACCAGTCCCCTGGGGTGAGGGTGGGGGGCTCTCACTTATCGTAGGATCCAGAAATCAGGGTCTGAGCTTCAAAGGGGTGGAACTGCAGGGTCTGCACCTACAGGGCGGAAGCAAGATGAACCGGTGGCGTGTGGGTGTGCCCAGCACCAGGCTTCCCGATGACACACAGGACTCTCCAGACGCGCAGGGCCGTGCTGCAGGAGCAGGGCACACCCTCCTCCCAAACTCGCGGGCCTGCATTTCAGCAAGCACTTCTGGAGTGCTCCCTGGCAGACCACCATGCCCCGACACACAGGGGCTGCTAGGGCTGGGGGGTCCGGCACGTGTGCCCAAAGGCCTCTAGAGCACACACTGGCTTGCAGCTCCCCAGGCACTCTGTCACCTCACCAGGTGGCAGATGGCACCACCACTCTCTCTAACCCTAGCTAACACCTCACTCGCCCAGTCTGCAGCCATTTTCGCTTCCCCACAGCAGGCATTACACTGGCAGTCCCTGGGTGAGGAAGGACGCCTCATCCACCCTCATCCTGACCAGCCAGCCCGTGGAGAGCCTGCGAGACACACTGAGGTCCCTGCAGCAAGTGGGCGGCACAAGGTTCTTAAGCGAAACGCATCCCGAGTCTGTGCAGTTTCCTTATTGTCTCGGATGCAGGGACCGGAAAGGCCCTCTATACACTAAGACCAAAGTTTGACCACCTGATGTTCAATAGCAACTATACCTAGCCTTTCCGACCTACGTACAAATTCAATTTCACAAAGGGACTCGCTCCTATCTGGGCTCTGCCTGTCTCCTCCACTGGGTGTTTAAGGGCTCAGTAAGGTACCAAGAGTCACGTCGGGGCCTATCTTAGCTAGTACCATCCCCGTTTTAGGATCCTCTCCGCCCACTTGCCCACTGTACCTTGTCTGTGTGCACTGCCAGGCTGGCTGCTGGCTTCCCCACAGCCATGTCCCACAGGATCACGGTGTTGTCTGCTGACGCACTGGCCAGCACATTCCTGAGTAGGGGAGGATGTCAGGGTACTTTAAACAATTGCTAGCATTAAACATAAAACACTGTTAGAAAAATAACAAAGTTTCTATTTGCCCAATTGAAAAAAAAAATCAATAGCATTAAATGCAAGAGAGAAATCCCATCTACAGCAGCATCAAACAGAATAGATGACTTAGGAAGGGGGAACAAGACTTGTGTGCTGAAAACTACAAAGGCTTTCTGAAAGACAGCAAAGAAGTTTAATCCAAATAGGAATACGTTCCATGCTCATGAATTGAAAGACTAACGATGGAGCTACAGGTTAATTGGCAGATACAACCAATCCTTTTCAAGTACCCCAAACTCCCAAGTGGGCCTTGGCATTCTTAAGGAAATGCAAGAGGCCCAATACTCTTGAAAAATAAAAGGTTAGAAAACTCACTTCCCAAGGTCAACGTTTACTACAAAGTTACAGTCACCATGCCGTGTGGTGCTGTCACGGGGCCCAGAAATAATTCCGTTTACAGTCTGCTGACTTTCCATAAGCCCGGCTTGTACAGCCCTGCCTCTCTCTTTACCTGACGAGCTTGTTCCAGGACAGGTCAAGGACGGCATCGGTGTGGCCTTCTGCCGAGGACACCTGGAATCATGGTCCTTCGTGACTTTCTGTATTGAAGTCCCGTCCTGCCACCACCACGCCCCTTCCCCACCACACAAGTGATTCTTGAAAAAGCACCTTGTTTCCTTCTAGTTCAGACACCGGGGATACCCAGTTTTGACAGAGAAGACACCAGTCGTTCTTAAACTAACTGCTCCAATCTATAAATTCAACATTCCCATAGACATTTCGAACTGAAAACACGAAGTTAAATAGAAATTTCAAAGGTCCCATGTCACTAGCATTTTATCTCTTAAAGGATTAGCTGATTTTAAGCCATGAAGGACCCCACAAAAGAAACACTGAAGGATGAGAACGGCTACTTAGGAAGGTTAAGTGCTTTTCAAAAACGACTCTGCTCCCCCAATAAAAGTATTTAATAATAAAAAAATTGCCCTGCTGCTTTACATTTCGATTTTAGGCTTACGAAGCACACCCAGTGTACAGAGCTCCTGAGGACACTGTGTTGGGACAGGGCAGGTGCACATCCCTCGGGCTGATGTGACCAGCCCGGTGTAGGAGGGGGACGTGGCCTGAGTCATCTGCTCCGTGGGAGACCGAGGACTTTCCAGTCATCCTCTCTGCCTTTGGGTTAGCGTGCTGACACTAGAAGAAACGCCAGTCAATCCACAACGACCGGCCTACCCGGTCAGGTGGGGACGAGGCACTTGGCTAGTCCCTGCTGCCTCACCTCCACCCCCATTAGCTGATGTCCACTTGTCTGACAGCTTCGATACGTCGGTGAAGTTACTGACCTTCTTTCCTTTCTTCTTCTTTTTGGATCGCTTACTTCCAAGTGTGAAGATCGGCTCTAGCGAGTCCACAATATCGAGGTCCCACACTTCAATCACGGGGTTCATGCTTCCCACAGCGATGTAGTTTCCTGCAGGAGGAAACAAGGCACTTATTCGCTCTCGCTTTCTCTCTCCCAGAAGCAAGGCAATTATTCTCTCTCTCGGCAATTATTCTCTCTCTCTCTCTCACACACACACACTCACACACACACACACACACACACACACACACACACGGCGACTCCTGCTCAAGTACAGGACGCTGCAGCACAGAGGAGCAGTGCCTCTGAGGGAGCTCCCCATGCTTCCACAAGGCTGTGAACCCTCAGAATGGTGTTAAAATGGAGCCAATCGCACAACAGTTGGATGGGCTGGCTGTGAATCAAATGGCCGGCAGTTTGAAGCCATTAGTGAGGGACAGCACCTGGTGACAGAAGCCTAGACACTCTTAGGGGGCAGCTCCCTGCCACATTGGCTAGGAATCAACTTGCCAGCACCTGGCAACCACAACCAGCTCCCGATGACGTCAATACTGAGGTTCTGGTCCACGGGCCAGCATTCAGGTCCCAGCCTCCTCTGTCTTTAGCTAGGACAACACCCGCCCCTCCTCTACGGGGCTCTGTGAAGGGGAGGATCAGCAGGCTGTGAACAATCGTGTCCTTAGCTCCCACCCCCGTGAGGAAGAGGTACTAAAAGGACGAACATGGGGGCACACTCCTATCTCACTTGCTCCAAAGCTGTTACTTGGCACGCCTCTTCATTCGGATTTTGCCTGAAGTTTTTGAGTGAGGATACATCATTCTAAACCGGTTTTATGGGAATGCCAGTCCGCTCCGCAGCCAACGTGCTCTCAGCCCTGCCCAGACCGAAGACGTCAAGGCCCCACATCGTTAAGGGATGGTTTCGGGAGTTCGAAACCAGCAGCAGCTCTGAGGGAGACAGACGGGGTTTTCTACTTCATGAACAGTTACAGCCTGGGACGCGCACGGGGGAAGTTCAACCCTGTCCTATGGGGCGGCCATCGCCTCGACGGCAGCGGTTTGGTTTTCTGGTTTCTGTTTCAGTAACTGCGTCACTGGGCAGCGATACTAGGAGGGGTGGGTGGGGCAGTAAGGGGGACTGACCGCAATGATCGACATATCGCCCCCATCCCAGGGGGACGGAGAGCAGAAAAGTGGGTGAAATGAGACAGCAGTCAGTGAAGACATGAAAAAATATATATGTATAAAGTATTCAAGGGGGAACGGGGGACGGAAGGTGGGAGAGGGAGGGAGAAAATGAGGAGCTGATGCCAGGGGCTCAAGTAGAAAGAAAATGTTTTGAAAAAGAAGACGACAACATGTGTACAGATGCGTCTGACAAAATTGATATATGTATGGATTGTGATAAGAGCTATGAGCCCCCAATAAAATTAAAAAAAAAAATTGTGGCACTGTAACGTCCTAAAATGTCTAACAAGTGACTTCATAAGATACCGACAAGCACTCTGAAAACATTCACACTTGCACCTGAAGCTCGTGGGGTTTGGAAAGGCCCGCCCTTGAACTCTCCCATTACCAGTAGCATCATCTGGGCTAGGATCAAAATTCAGCCACTCCACACTCAGAGGATACGCAGACAAGATGATATCATGGTGGACATAAAACGAGTCTTCTTCTTGATTGTAGACTGCAAACAGAGGAAAAGGGACATCACTGCAATAGAGCAAGAGCCACTCCAAGCCACACCCCGTTCAAATGAACAGATTCTCCCCATCAAATGGACGGGAGGCACGATGCCCAAAGTGTGGCCACACGACACTTACAAGGGGACACTTCTGCGTGTGAAATACGAGGGCACACCAGGAAGTTCCTGGGAATCTCTCTGTTGCAAGTTCCGCAAGCTTTTGAAGCTCCCTCACATATTCCATCACCTGGCCCGCCCCACAGGGGAACATGGACATCACAGAGAAACGACTGCTACTGTCTGAACACCCGACCACGCGTCCCCCAGCAAGACGGTCCTGTCTTTTAGTTCACTCGTGACAGAAACTCGCAGGGGGAGTGTCCCAGCTGTAGTCTCTGAAGTTCTCACTGAGCAACAAGTGGTGACAACAAAAACCATACGGGGGGATGGGGGTGGGGGAGATCCACGTGGAGAAATCGAAATGCTTGTCCGAAACTACTCTCCTTTAATATTTTACCAAAACGCAGAACCAGCTCTTTACCATGGACAGTTAAAACATTAGAGCGCAAAAATGTTCTCAAAGTCCGTGGCTAGTCTTTCAAAAATTACACAAACCAGTAAGACCCCCAAGAACTGGGGCAGTCCTGGCTCTCTCCATATAGTTTATTAAGAAAGGCGCCCATGAGAAGAATTGTTATTTAAACTCTTTGGAGCTCTGCTTCAGGGAGCATTTGTCTGCCAATCACTGTGCTTGGGGAAAGCCTGCTCAGTGCATGAGCTGGCGGTCCTGTGAGAACCCAACTGCACCCAGAGCACTGGGTTTCCACAGTAACAGAAACGATGCTGAGTTAACATGGGCTCTCTCTTACCTATTCCAGATCAGCTTTAGAATGCCGTTCTGCAAGGCTTCTCGCAGGCACATGGTCTGCGTACTTGGCAGATCCTGTGCAAATCTCAATCGTGAAGGCCCTCTGTGATGACCTGCCCCAGTGAGCTCACCCCCAGCAGCCACCAGGAGGCTGGCACAGGACTCTGCTGGTGGTGGTGTTGGGGGTGGGGGAGAGGGGGGACGTGCACGCAGGCACATCACAATCACAACCACCACCACCACCACCACCACCACCACCACCGTTAGCACTCCAGGTGTCCTATTTTCATTCAAAACCCAGGTGCCAAGGTGACACACCAGACCAGGAAATCTGCAGCTGGGTAGGATTTCGTCAGATAAGCAACTCACGAGATGCCTCAGGCTCTCACCCCCGTTCAGCCAGACGTGGCCCTGACGATGATGGTTATTTCCAGGATCATGCGCACTTACCGTGCACCTCTAAATTGCACTGGTCCTGTTCAGCTCTCCCACAGACGATGAGGTTATCACTGGGCTTGATCAGGAAATCGTCCTGCTCATACTGCTCCTGAGGGGAAAGGGGACAGTCCGCGTCCAGGAGCAGCTCCCTCCAGAAAGAACCACGAATCACCCATCTCTATGCACTTGCCTATTCTACATCATACACCGTGTGCCCTTGGTGGCTGACTCCTTTCACTCAGATTCATGAATTCCGCAGCACACAGCAGAATGTCCTCTCTAGGGCCAAGTACTATTCAACGGTACATCTACAAGGGTGAGTCAAATGAGCACCGCTACACAAGCAGAGAAACCTTTATCAAACCAACAAAAAATAATTTCGCTGCAAAGCCATTATTTCTCCACCTAAGTCTGTAGACCTTTGAGGATAGTTTCTCGCGCCCTTGTCCCCAGAGAAATGGCGCTCTTTAATGTGCACCATACCCAAGCAGGTGGGCCTGGCATCTTGCACAGGAATGAAAGCGTGTTCAATGCCAATGTTCTTTGTGTTTGGGGAGCAAAGTGAAGTCAGGGGTGGGTGGGGCAGATCAGGGATGCCGGGTGGATGGGGAGAGGTGTCTGAATGCTTGAAGGACAGTGCTTGCTACCCTCGAATGAGCAGCGCACTATCGTGATGGGAACTTAAAAATGGGTCGTTTGAGAAAATCTGTCAAGATCATCACTCTGGAGTCCATCCTCCCCCAAAGTCTGGATAAGCTTCGTAGCTGATCTCCTTGCGTTTAACTGGCCCGCCCAATAGCTTTGAAGGCATCCTTAGGAGATCGAGACCACTGCATGACCGGAGAACCTGTCTGCTGCCATCCCTGGTCACAGAGACACGTGTAAACACGTTTTGTTCAGAGTAAACATGTGTCGGCAGGCATGAACTGGCATCCAGATAGCGATACCTTTCGACTTGCCCTCACATGCTACACCTCGCTTATCTGTTCTTCTCTCCAGGGAGACTCAGGTAGTTGTGAATAGTGCTATGAGCACTGGTGTACAGCCAGGCTTCCCAAAGTGGGTGACGCTGCCCCACGCCCAGGGGGCGCCGGAACTATGCAGAAAACAAATCCAAACTCACTGCAGTTAGAGCAGCCCGATGGGCAACCACTATGCCCACAGGCCCCTTATCCAGGGGGCTGCAGAAGCAGACACCTACACTCTATCCTGGAGTCACGGCCAGGGGGCACAGAGTAATTTTTTTTTTCTCTGAAAAGGAGGTGGTAGGCCAAATAGGTTTGGGCACCAACAGTGTCCACCTTTCTGTTTGAGCTCTTGCTTTCAGGTCTTTCAGTTGGGTACCTAAGAACCGCATTGCTGGGTCACATGGTAGTCCTGCTGTTGCTATGGGTTAGGCACTGGGCTGCTAACAGCAAGGGCAGCGTTTCACATCCACTAGCCTCTCCAGGGGAGAAAGAGGAGGCTCTCAGCTCCCAGAAAGGTGTACGGCCTTGAATACCCTCTGTCGGGTGGCGACGAGTTGGAATTGACGTGCTGGCAGTGGGTTTGGGGTTGGGATGGCAGTTCTGCATTTCACTTCAGGAAGAACTGTCAGGTTTCCCACACACGGAGGAGCACAATGAGAAAAGGCATGCAAACACTTGCCGTGTCTTTCAGAGTAACATACGGGTCCTGGTCGTTGCTCCCATAGACGGTCAGGCCCAGGAGAGATGCACCCAGCGTCTCAGCCTCTAGGAGAAGGATGCACACACCGAGATGAAGCCAACGGTCCTCTGGCATAAGCACTTTCCTAAGGCATCTCCTCTCCTCTTTAGCTCAGATCCACCCAAGTCTTGGGAGCAGCCGAACTCGGGAAAAGAAAACCGTGGAGGGGAACACACATGCGTGGACAGCAGACACCCCCTGGAGCTCACAACTCTCCCAATGAATGAACGAAGCCAAACTGCACGATCTCCTTCTAGGAAACAGCCACACTCCCCCTGCCTCCCTAGCTTGCCTTTCCCATCATGATTCAAGAGCGGTGGCCTTGAGCACCCGGAAAGAAAATGACCCTGAAACTCAACATCAACACAGAACGGATCAGGGTTGTCTGGTCGTACAAAACGGAGACACGCCGACTCTCCTAAGCAGCTTTCTTCACCACAAGATGTCTCCCCTCTGCTGGCATGCTGACGTACCTCATGGAGCCAAACTTCTACCTGTTCCCCTCAAGGGATTTGAAAGTGGATTGTTTTTAAAACACGGCTCTTCTTCTGGAGCAGGGGTCAGCAAACTGTGACTCCTGAGCCACATTCTGCTTCAAGTACAGTGGAAAGTGACAACAGAATGATGATTCAGAGAATCGGGATTTCCTTTGTTTAGAAAAGTACATCTATGACTCTAATAATTCTTAACTGTTGTGAGGGACAGGTTGGCTCTTCCCTGTTCCTGACTCCTGTTCTAGAGTAAGAGGGTACACCTCATGGTCCTCATTTTTTCTAATTATTGTCAACCACGAGGTCTCCAAACACTGTTCACATTCCAAATAAAAATCACTGTGGCTGAGGCAAAGAAAGTCATCCAAGTCCAAAGACAACCTGGGGACAGGAGGTGGTGGTGGGGGAAATAAATGGAAGCTCTTATCAAAGAGTTCAAGAAGAAAGAAAATGTTCTGAAACTGATGGTGGTAGCAATTGTACAATTATGCTTGAACCAATTAAATTATGGACTGTTATAATATCTGTGAGAGCTCCCAATAAAATAATTTAAAAAAAAACAACCAAAATAACCCACACCAGGCAGAGGGGTTGCACATGCTGTACATACCCAGTACCCTGCTGGGGTCGGGAGCTCAGGGCTTATTTTCTAATCCAGTTTGGGAAGTGGGTGCTCTGCCCAAGGCGCAATTGACCAAAAGGGACAAGAGCGTCTCCAAGGACAGCCCACATGAACCACTCACTGCACACGGGGCTCGACTCCAGGAGGAAGGCACACCCACCTGGGTCGCTGTCCTCATCGTATCTGTCTAAGTCGTACTCAGCCAGCTCGTCATCGGCCAGCAGTCTGTCAGCCTCTGGGTCACCATCCTCAGGGGGTTCCCTGGGCGGAGCCTGGGTGCGCCCACTCTGCACGCTGTCCTCTGAAGGCTCGCCGGTCTCCTCTTCATCACTGTCACCTTCTTCCCTGGGGGAAGAAACCCACGGCCCAAAGGGCACCATTCATCACGAGACCACCTGGGCAGCATTCTCTAAGACACATATCCCATCTGGAGCTGGACCCAGAGAGCAATCACCCCCAAACCAAACTCATTGCCATCGAGCCGATACCGACTCACAGTGACCCTGTAGGGCAGGGCAGGCTGCCCCTGTGAGTCTCCCGGACTGTAACTCTGAGGGGAGCAGGAGTTCTTTCTTCTGCAGAGCAGCTGGTGGTTTCAAACTACTGACCTTGTGGTCAGCAGCCCCACGAGAGCCCTTTAGTTGTCCCAAACTTACTGCAGCTTCTCCTTGGCTTCGTTGATGAGGCGTTTTACTTCTTCTTTACTTAGTTCGACCTAGGAGAGAGCACACACGTGCTGAGATTTCAATGTCCCGGAAAACCTGTGGGAGGTGGAAACGGCCAAGGAAGGCAAAATGCTAAAGTGCTTCTCTTACCAGGAGTGGTGGGAAAGGGCTAAGAGCACACACACCTGTGAGAGAGCTGGAAACAGAGCTGCCCTGGCACATCCTGCCTCTCGCAGGGGCCACTGGGTTTAAAAAGACCACCACAAGTCTCAGAACTACAATGAAGCTTGCGAACAACGTTGAGCATAACTTCATGGGGCGTAAGACGTTAACATAACAGCTGGTGAAGTGACCCCAACTGTTCCATAGGGTTTCCAGGGTTGTAACTTTATACAGGAGCAGAAAGTCTCATTGTTCCCCTGTAGAGGGGCTGGTGTGTTTGAACTGCTGACCTTGTGGTTAGCAGCCCAATACACAGCCCACGACACTGCCAGGGTTCCTTGCAAACATGGACAGAGATGCTAATTTTAAGGAAAACGGGAGCTTTCACAGTTCCTTCTATTTACTAAGATCCCTTCCACCGTAAATTGCTTCAAAGCACCCTAGTATACATGCCCATCAAGGAAGCAAATATGCCTTCTGCTTAAGTTACATCCCCAGCCATGAACAACTCAAATGTCTCTGAGAAAAGACTTCAGTCATCTTAATCCACTCCTTCTCACGCGTCCCATTTAGCTCCCATCCCCCCGTCGCTGGCATTTCGGCAAGAAATTCAGAATTCAGCTCCCGGCCTCAAGAGTGACGTTTCCACACCCGCTTATTCTCCGCGACTGCTGTCACCCCGTTTACTCCTCGGGCAGCCAGTGCTCTGAGCGTTAAACGAGTTTGCACATAGGGGTCCCCCACTCCTTAGAGCCTGAGGAGGCCCGGGGGTGGGTGTGGAGAAGCTGTGGTGCTAAGAAGGCTTGGGGAGGACTCTGGTCACTGGTGGGGGGAGTTCCCCCCCGAGGCCCTCCGGCCGGAGCCGCGATCACCATCAAGCCAGCCCCACGGGAGTCCCGTGTTAGCGGTCCAGCTTCCCGGAGGCGCGGTAAACCGGGCGCTCCCCTCCTCCCTGAGCAGCAGGGCCTGGCTCACCTTGTCTGGCGTCTCCTTGGCCACGCCGCTGCGGACCCACGACACACACGTCACCTGCCGGCTGCGGTTCATGGTCCTCGGCTCGAGAACGGCTCGTCCGAAAGACCGTGTCTGCGCAGGGCCGAGCGCTCAGCCAAAGCGCAGCCACAAGCTCCCGGAAGCACGCGGGGCGCCTCTCTGAGCAGCGCGCAGGCGCGTGCGGTCCTGCGCGACCTCGGCGCGCGCTCTGACGTCATTCGTAGGCGCCAGTGGGAGAGGGGCGGGGCGGTCCGGAGCCGCAGGGCGAGCGTGACGAAGGAAGACGCGGCCTCCCGGGCTGCCCTGCCGGTCCCGCCGTCGGCAGGCCTCGGGCAGGCGAAACGACAGTCCTGGGAAGTGGCTTCGCTAGAGTCTGCCACTCTAGATTTCATCTGCAGCGCGATTTCCAGCTGACAAGTGACAAATGGTGGCGTCTCTGTGTGAGGGAGAGGGAGGAGTGTGTGTGTGTGTGAGAGAGAGATCTGCTAGATGATGTGTGTTTAATCGGGTCGTGTGTGTGTGTATTGCATATGTGTTGTAAATCCGGACTAAAAACTTTCTCCGAAATGAATCCGTCTTTCAAGGAGACACTCGCGCCCTTCCGCATCAGTACATTCTTGATAGCGTACACAAAGCCCTTGTAAGGTGGCAGGCACTGTATGTACTGTTTACATCTTAATCCCTTGTGGTAGGCGTATTCTTATTTTACTGATGGATCAATTCTCCAAAGCCACGTGGTGCAGCCACGGCTGGAACCAGTTAGGGTGACTCCGAAAAGCCCCCATTACCCACTATGTCATACCTCAGGTAAGGGCATGTTGTGTGTTGTTTTTGCCACCACCACCACCCCCCCCTGAAATGCAGGTATTTTACCCCAAAGTGGTTCAGCCAATTTACCCCCTCCAAATCAGAGGAAGAAAGAGATTTTTATTTAAAAGGAATACCTGGGGGGAGTCCACAGCAGGGCACAGCGGATTGTGTTGTGTCCTGCTAGAAATCAGAATCCCTAGAGGCTATCTACCTTTGGCTATGGAATCCCATAAAGATGTTTTACATTAACTCAGGATTCAGGGTGACCATGGAAACAACCGTTGACCCGGAGCAAGCAAACAGAATCGTAATGTTTGGTAAGTCTTAGATCATCTCAGGATGATTTTGTTCAGTAGACAGCGTCTAGTCAGTAGCAGGTGAATAAGAGAGTCCTGTCGGCATTATCTGGCCCTTTCAGGTGACACCGCATCTAGCAAAAAGGTGCCTGCTTTTGAGCCATGTTATTTAGTTGAGTTATTAAAATTCCATTGAGTCTGAATTAAGCGAAGTTACCTTAGGGTAACTGCACTTTACAAGGGGGCTCTTTCTACCTATGTCAAATAAAATAACGGGTTACAACAGGGAGTTCATCCTGAACGCACAATGACTTTTTTGTGACAGAGCCAGCTTCTGGGTGGTCATCTTCAGGGGAGGAGACCTCCAGGCCTTGGCCCCACAGAAGGGCTGAGGGTCTCACCCACAGTGCTTCTATTAGCAGCCCAGTACGTAACCACGGTGATCCCAGGACTCCAAGCAAAGGCCATCGTCATACAGAAAATGTCAGCGGCTGACACTTGGATTCTCCCAGGCCGGCTTTCCTTTGTCCAATTGGGGTGGCAGATGGGATTTTCTCAAAGGTGACTGCACTTAAATAATGGGGCTTCAAAAAAAATGTATGGAAAAATCCCATTATCTTTGAATCTCATTTTTCTATGAACTTTTTGAAGCGCCCCCCCCCCCTTGGTATTCTTCTATTGTGTCATCTTGCTGCCTCATCAAAAGGTGGGGCCTGATGTCCCTGCCCCTTGAGTCTGGCTGCGTGGTGATTGCTTCGCCCGGTGGAATGTGACCAAAGGCTGGGATCCGTGGAGGCTCCACCACGAAGGGCTTGACTGTGGACTGCAAGGTCAGTTCCGATCGACTTCCGACACCCCCAGTGGTTGCGAGGGAGAAGGGCAGGCCATCTGCTTCTACCAAGACGGCCGCCAAGAAAACCCGAGGGGTCAGTTCTGCTCCACCCGTGGGGTTACTATGAGTTGAAATGGACTGGACAGAACCCAGTAACCACCTGGAGGCCGCCATGCTGCAGGAGGGCAGAGCAGGCAGGTAGGCCGCATGGAGCGCCTGTGGCACATGGCCCCTGCTTTTGGGTCAAGCTCGGCAGGTGAGTGAAGGCTCTTCAGTGATGCTGGCTACCAGGCGTCCACGGACCCCCCCAAGCCGAGTTCTAGACACTGTGAAGCATCCACAAGCCATCCCCACTGTACCCTGATGGAATCCTGAGCTCCAGGATCTAGGAGCAGGAAAAAATGGTTGCAAACCAAGCAATTTTGAGATCATTAGGGGAAAAAAACGTATTGTGAATTAGGTAAAGGTTTACAGAGAAGATGACCCATTTTACAGTCAACATTTCATCCACCTTTTGGGCCAACTCATTTGCAGTCCCCTCGCTGCACCATCATTGGGCCCACGTCCTCCCTGCGTCTCCTGTTTCCTAACCCTCTGAACATGGTCCCTGGGTAGAGCTGCTTTGTAATCTGAAATGGCTGTGATTCTAAGCAGGGACAAGTCCAGTTCCAGGCCTAAAGGGACCTTTGAGCACCATAGTCTTTTATCTGACTAGGAAGCCTAAGCTCTTTTGTCATTTTGAGTTTTTTTCTGCATTTTTCTGCCCAGGACCTTCCAGTGTGATCCTTTCCAGAGCAGTTGGCAGTGGCAGCTGGGCACCATCTAGTTTTTCTAGTCTCAGAGCTGTGGAGACTGGTGTTTGCCAGTTCCTTCATCCACAGGACTAATGGTTTCCTATTTGATTGTCATCACTCTTCTTTCCTCCAGCTGGAGGGAGGCAGTGGGTGCAATCTTGCAGGCTGCTCCACGGCATGTAAGACCCAGGTCCCTATTTGAGCCCAGTTTTTATGCAGCAGTAATAAGTGGAACCGGTGCCATATTTAGAACAGAAACCATGAACTAATGTGTTTGCACAGGCTGAGTTATTAACTGTGGGGTATCAACCCCCACAATTGAATGGGTCCAAAGGGCGATTGTGTAATTGAAGGGTAAAATTAAACAGACATCAGACAAGATCAAGCATAGGACTGCTCACCCCCGGGAAGGCAGTGACTGCAGCAGGCAGATCCACAGAGAGAGAGAATAGATTTCCAACCAAGGCTAATGTATACTCGGGGTGTGCAAGCCCCCCTAATTACAGGTAACCACATAGGTAACAAAATAGGCCGTACCCTAACCCTAAAGGTCCCTGAGTATATTGGAGGAGGAGCAACCTAACACCAGTGCCTGGGGCAGGTAAGGGGAAGTGGCTGTCTTCAGAGCCTAGAGGGCAATAGCACATGTCTGCTCCTAGAGAGAGAGCTGTCAGCTACACAGCGAATCAGCCACGTGCTTGAAGGAGGTAACTTTAAGGTAGCACTATTATGGGAGGATATTGTGGGAAACAATCTTAATTATGAGAATGTGATTGGGACTCACCTCGAACTCACAAGAGCGAAGGCCTCCCTCCGTCCCAGAAACCCAGCCTGCCAGGCTCCTTAATATATGAGACTAAAGGATTCATCTGTACACACTCTCTTCCCATGCTCCGCGCCCCACGATGGACAACCGGCTGGGCTTAACCAGGTGTGCGCCCCTGACATACAGGCCTGTGCTTGGGGTGGAGTGTTTGCTTCTGGGTCTGTACCCCTGGGTGTTGCCCCTTTCTATACCAGCTTCTGCTTGGCAATGGCCCAGCCCATGCCTGTGTGGTTCCTGGCTGCACCCCGCACGGTGCCAGGTGCAGAGGGGTGCTCCCGAATGCTTGGTTAAATGAATGAAGAAAGTATCGAAGAGGAGGTGGGCTAGGGATCTGGTTATTTTGGGCCTGTTACATTTCACACTCTGATTGGGCTACTTTCTGGTCCCTTATTCCCTTTAAATGAGAAAAACCTGGTTACAGCTGGGAGTATTTGCTCCTGGGAACAAGAATTGAAACAGATCGAGTTAAATAGGTCTGTGTCTAGGCCTGATTCTCGGGAACCCCGATGAGCATGTTTCACTCAGAAAGGTCTCTTTGCCAGAGGCAAAAAATAGGACTTGATAGTAAGTTGACTATTCTTAGAGTTAAAGGTTCCACCGGGTTGGCCTAGGCCTTGCAGCTCTTGGCACATCCTCTAGCTCAGCACCGTGGGTCATTACATGATGTCTAATTGGCCTTGAGCCCTGTGGGAGGAAGTGAAGTCGGTAGCACCTTCCTCAGCCGTCATCCTAAGCTCTCTTTCTTTCCCTGCCTCTAGCTAACACTAACACCGCACTGATGAGGAGCTGGAGAAAACAAGCCAACCTCACCGCCATCGAGTTGATTCTGACCCACAGCACCCTAAAGGAGGAGTAGAACTGCCCTTGGGGGTTTCTGAGACTGTTAGCTTCTTATGGGCGTAGAAAGCCTCATCTTTCCCCCGTGGTGGACTGATGGTTTTGAATGGCTGACCTTGCAGTTCGCAGCCCAACATTAGCCACCAGGGCTCCTTTAAATCTTTGCAGGCATAGACAGCCTCAACTTCCTCCTATGGAGCAGCTGGTGGCTTTGAACCATCAACTTTGTGGTTAGCAGCTCAGCGAGTAACCCACTAGGCTACCAGAGCCCCCAAGGAGCTGAAGGCATAATAGTAATAACTGGCATAGTGGTTGTGCATAGAGTCACTATAGGTCAGAACAGACTCCATCTCACCCATAACAACAATTGCTCTGGATGGCTGAAAAATATGGCGATAGAATAAGTGGCTCCAGGCATAGCCGGATCAAGGAGCTTAAGCAGTGCCATGAGGAACGAATCTCTCTTCCATCTTTGTCACCTCCTTCCCACGTGGTGGCTCTGTAGGCAACTCAGGTTTGGAACAGCCTTGACTCAGAGCCCAGCAGACAAGTGTCCACTGTTGTTCATCCCCTTCTCTCTGTCTTACTTGTCCCTCTGGTTCTGGATTGCTACTTGCTCATCCCTGCACTAGTTGCTGTTTCGCCCTGGAGCCTAGGAGGGAAGGAGTCAGCCCTGTGTGGAGCAGGGAAGGACCACTGGGAGGCTGGCAGGAACCAGTGCTGCCCAGAGTGTGAGTGAAGAA